TTGCCAGGACGAAGTGCTTTTATTGGCATTGGCTTCACAGACCGTGGGGATGCCTTTGACTTCAACGTCTCCCTGCAGGACCATTTCAAGTGAGCTGTGCTTTTCTGGAATGCTTTTTCCTCAGGCCTGTAGAACGTGGTGGTGGGGGTGCACCTTCAGTTGGCACAGGCATCCTTGGGAGCATCCTGGAGCCCTGCCCTGGCTCCAGCAGGGACACGTGTGCTGCCAGTTGTCACACGTGCTGAGAGCCCTGCAGGGTCAGAGCTGTCAGTGTGGTGCTGCAGGGACAGTGTCCCCTGGGTCTGTGGTGGTCCCAGCTCTGCTCTGCTGCTCTGGGAGTAGGGGGTGGGTGGTTTGACAAGGCAAGGGAGTTCTTTGGCAGGGTGGGTGGAGGAGCCATGTGTGTCTTTGAAACTGTTCCCCTTTGCCACAGGGTCTTAAGTCTTCTCTTCTCTTTAGGTGGGTGAAGCAGGAGACTGAGATCTCCAAGGAGTCCCAGGAAGCTGATACACGTCCCAAGTTAGACTTAGGGTTTAAGGAAGGTCAGACCATCAAACTGAATATTGGGGTAAGCAGCCTGGTCTGGCCTGCTTCTTCCTCTGCAGCCACCAGCACAGACTCCAGCTCACCTGTCCTTTCTTTTTGCACAGAACATGATGACCAAGAAGGGGGGAGCAGCCAAGCCCCGTGTGTCTGGCTCGGGGGGCCTGAGCCTGCTGCCCCCTCCACCAGGAGGCAAAGCTGCAGTTCCTGCTGTGCCTGCCCCTTCCTCCACAGCCATTGCCAACCACGTCACACCCCCCCCCGTGCTGCAGCCCAGCAGCAGCAGTGCAGGTGGGTGTCAGCAGCCTGGTGCCAGCAGTGCCTGCTGGGGCACGGCCTGTCCTCAGGGCTGGGCTGTCCTTGGGGAGCTCCAGGCTTGTTTAGCCACACCCTCCTGTTCTTCTTGCAAGGAAGACAGTGTTGTAGCTCCTGTCCTGGCTAAAGGAGAAACCAGGTGACCTGGGGGGTGGGTCTGAAATGTAAAGAGTTGGGGTGTTTCCTGCACTTGTGTGTGCTGTAGGGGCACTGGCAGAGCTGTGTAGGGTGTGCAGGAGGGTACTGCACCCTCACTGTCTGCAGAAAAACAGACTGGTGGCTGTTGTGGGAAGATGCAGGAAAAGCACTTCTGGAGTGGCTTGGAATAGAGTGAGAGGAAGCTTTGGTGTGTGCAGCAGGAAGGAGTGCACATAGTGGCATTATGGGTGTAGTGAATTCTTTTTTAGAATCAGTATCTAATTTTATATGAGACATTTTTATATAAAAGCAATAAAACATAGAAAAATATGCTGAACTTCATACAGAGAGAGCATGAGGTGGGGAGTGAGAGGTGGGGAGGGGCTAGAGACAGAGATGGGGGTTCAGCAAGGCCAAGTGCAAGGTCCTGCACCTGTGGTGAGGCAGTGGCCTGTGACAGGCCACAGGAGGAGACCATGGGTTGAGAGCAGCCCTGAGGACCTGGGGACACTGCTGGATGGGAGATTGAGTGTGAGCCAGCAACGTGTGCCTGTGGCCCAGAAAGTGAATCCTGTCCTGGGCTGCATCAAGAGAAGTGTGTGCAGCAGGTTGGGGGAGGTGATTCTCCCCCTCTGCTCCACTCTTGAGGCCCCATCTGCAGGACTGCCTCCAGCTCTGGGGTCCCCACTGCAAGGGACAGGAGCCTGCTGGGGTGAGCCTCGAGGAGAGCCACAGAAGTGATGTGAGGGCAGGCTGAGAGCTGGGCTTGGGCAGCCTGGAGAAGAGGAGGCTCCAGGAGGATCTTATGGTGGCCTTTCAGTAGTTAAAGGGAGCTTTCAAGAAAGACAGAGACTTTTCACCAGGGCCTGTGGTGACAGGACAAGGGGCAAAGGTTTAAACAAAGTGGGTAGGTTCACACTGGATGTAAGGAAGAAATTCTTCACAGTGAGGGCAGTGAGACACTGGAGCAGATTTCCCAGAGAAGTTGTGGGTGCCCCTTCATCTGAAGTTCCCAAGGCCAAAGAGCATGGGGCTTTGAGCAGCCTGATGTAGTAAATGATGTCCCTGCCCATGGCAAGGGGGTTGGGCTAGGTGGCACTTAAAGGTCCCTTCCAACCTGACCATTTTGCAGTTCTGTGGCAAGAGGTTGCTGCAGTCTTGGATGTTCTAGAAGTGACTGTGCAGGGGTGTGTGGGGGTGATGACTCTGGGGGAGCAGAGGCTTGAGCAGTGCTGTACACAGATGAGGGTGAGGAGAAGCCACCAGCTCCTGAGCAGGGCTTGGCTCAGGGCCTGGTTTGTGCTGTTGGGGTGGTGCCTGTTTGGCAGCTGTTCATGGTCACTGGGCTTGGGCTGCCTGTGCTCCAGCTTGGCCTGGTGTCTGCTGGGAGAGGGGTATGTCACCTGTCTGCTGCTTGCTGTGCTGGGGGGAGACTGCAGAGTGTTTGGAGACAATATACCCATGCAGCATGTGCTGGAGGCTCTGTGCACATCCAGCAAGAGGAGCTGCTGTCATAACAAAATCCATAAATTGTCTAACTTCCTTCTTCTGGAGGGAGAGCTGGAGTCCCTTCAGAGATTCTCTGCCCCTGGATCCAGCATTCTGTGTGAGGTGACAGCTGGAATGACTGTGGGGTTTGCTTCTTGATTAGTTTTTTTCTTTTTCCTTCTGCCTTAGATATTCTATTAGACTTGGATGCTCCTGCATCTGCATCCAAGGCACCAGCAGCAGCTTCTACAGACCTCTGGGGAGACTTCAGCACTGCATCCAGGTAAACTGTAGTGCAGGGAGCTGTGCACAAGCAGAGTGTCCTGATGGGCACTGCAAGAGCCCTCAGTTAAGAAGTCCTAGACTGACACTTTGATTCTCCTTGCTTTATTTCAGTGCTGTTCCCAATCAAGCTCCTCAGCAGTCCAACTGGGTCCAGTTCTGAATGGTCAAGGCAGTGGCATGAGACAAACTGATGACCAAGAGGCTTTAGAGGCACCAAATGGGATCAGAGGGGGCACAAACCTGTCTAGTCTTCAATCAAAACCAAATTGGGACAATCCTTCCTTTTTAAACTGTATCTTCAGTTCAGTTACTGTTTTCAATCACACCTTGGAACTGCTGAATCTAAAGAGAACATTGACAAGCTGGGCAAGGAGGAGGAGGAGGAGGAGGAGGAAGGTTTCCTCATCTCTTCCATCCCCTTGGTTCTTACCTGGTACACCCTTGCTCTCTCTGCCTACCTTGCCAGACAGGTAAAGCATGAATGCTGAGGAGGGTGTGTACAGGAGGGCTGGGTAGGTGCCTCTGGGTTCCTTGCCCTTTAAATTTTCTCTGGTTAGGCTTCTCCTTTGTGGCTGCTTTCAGCAGTGACTCAGATCTCTGCAGCCTGGCCTGCAGGGCTGAGGGCAGCTGCATTTGGCTGCAGCTTGTGGGAGGAAGCTGTAAGGAGCTAGGTCTTGTCTCAGCAAACCCCTCTGAGTGAGGGCTGGGGTGAGCTCCCTGTGCACGTGCTGCTCTGCTCTGGTGCAGTCCCTGCAGGGCTGGGTGTCCCTGCCCCTTGGGGGGCACTGAGGCAGGTCCCTGGGCAGCCCTGGTGCAGTCCCTGCAGGGCTGGGTGTCCCTGTCCCTTGGGGGGCACTGAGGCAGGTCCCTGGGCAGCCCTGCTGCCGCCCCTGCAGGGCTGCCCAGCCTGAG